TTTACTCGGGCGAGTAGAAGTGACAACTGGGGTACATCTACTCGGTGGGAAAGGAAGACAGAGCGCTTACTTATGGATAGTAACGGCGTAGGTGCATGGAGTTCCATGCCCTTGGGACATCTTCTCCGCGCGAGGTTTGAAGTCGGTAGACGCCTGGTTTGATGACCTTAATGATCTTGTATGGTCCTTCCCACCTTGCACCTAACTTACCAGCGTTAAGCTCCTTGGTGTTCTCAAATACCTTGCACATGACGAGGTCTCCGAGCTCTAATGCTCGTTGCACGTCGTCGGCTAGATATGCACCGACGCACACCGTCTTGCTTGGATCGGAATCGTCTATGTTTTGGGATGAAGATGACCGTTCTAGCCGTCGTCGTAGACCGTTGATCTTGAACGGTTTAGCCGCACGGGTAAATCAGTCAGATTTCCGTTAAGTTTGTCACGAAGGTCAGTGACGGCTTGTCGGTCGACAAGGGAGACCCTGTGGTTTTGAGGCGCTGTGACTTGTTGGCTTTGAGCTTAAGATGGAGGTCGGTAACAGGCTCGCCGATCGACAAGGGAGGCTCCGTGGTTTCGAGACGCTGCGACTTGTTGGCTTTGAGCTTAAGACGGAGATCGGTGTTATTGACGTCGCTGTTTGTCGCCACCTTTTGCTTGAGAAAGCTCCGCCGAGGGAGGCTCCGTGGTACCGACGAGTGTCGTATTCGTCGTCGGACGATAAGGGGCTGCTGAGCTCGTATCACTTCGATACGTTGGCGGTTCGCCGGTTGCTCCTCGTCTGCCGAAGAAGCTTCGTTGTCCGTGTCGTCCGAAGGTTTGCCGTCTACGCGACTTTTCTCTCCACCTTGACCACCGAACTTTCGCTGCGTGCGCTTCTCCATGATTGCTTTTGTGTCTTCTTCCATGCGGATAAAGTTATGTGAACGAGCAATGGCGTCCTGAAGCGTCATTGAGGTGCTCCGGTACAGGTCTTCTCGGAACTTGGAATCGAGATGGAGGGTGTTCATCAAAGCGTCGATGGCGATATGGTCTGGAATGTCGAGCTTTGAGACGAT